GTAGTCATGCCTCAACCACCGCATTCACCAGGTTTGGCCCTCTGCGACTTTTTCTTGTTTCCAAGATTTGAGAAACTCATGGAAGGATGGCGTTTCATGAAAAATGAGGAGGAAAAAACCGAATCTCCGAGAGAGCTCAACGACATGTCAAAAAGTGCATATCAAAATTGCTTCGAGGATTGGAAAAATGCTGGCTCAAGTGTATTATATCTCAGGGGGTCTACTTTGGAAAGGACAAAATAGAAATTGATGAATAAATAAAAATTTTTTGGAAAATTTAATTTCACCTTATTTTTCAACATACCTCGTATCTATATTAGGAATCGAAAAAAGCCTTTGGATTTTGAGAAATCATATTGAATGAAATGGGTATATCATTTCATCATATTATAGTCAATCGTTCAGAAAATATTCCAATTTATACCACAGAAATGTCGAGCTTTCCAGAACCATTGAAAACTTTCGCTTCATATATAATTTATTTCGAAGAGTCTCATGATTTCAGGAGAGTGAAAATCTGTTTAAATCTGTTTAAAATCTGTTTTTCTGTTAACCAGCTGTCGTACCCCTACGAACGACAACCCGCGGAAGTCGAAACTTTCGCGAGCTAAGGACTAACGAGGTCTTACCTATTAACGTGTGATTTCTAACACGGGTTGTATGAGAGCAAGTGAAAATCGATCGTTCAGTCTGGGGCTTGAACCAGGGACCAACACGGCGATCGATTTGAGTGAGTGAACAAAGCACCCACGTCGAACCGACCGGCTACCTTCCAACCAAGAATGACTCGTGTATCTCCCCAAATAATAGAATAATAATAGAAGCAATATCGATTATCATTGATTTCACGAAGGTCCTCAATAAAGAAGACCTAATTTTTTTTCAGAAAAGTGTTATCATCTCAGGCACCGGAAAACTGAAATTGAGAATATTCAGGGATACTGTCTACAAATTATACTATACAATCTATTTAAGTCAAAACGAGTCACTCTGTATAAGTCATTCGATATTGAGACTGTGAAAAAACTTGAAACACGTCAACTTCAGTTTTCAGAGAGACATATTTCTACATGAAAATCAATCTCTTGTCAGCCACCCCTTTTCCATGGCAATCCACGTGTCAGAAAAATCAAAAGGGAATAGCCATCTTATTGGGAAAGTTTTTCAATCCTCTGTAACATTTTTGGCATTACAACGATGAGCAATGTCAAAAAAGTATTTCTTGAGTTTGTATTATTTGTTTTAATAGAAAACGAAAAGTTTCACTCACTATTTTTTTGCATATGAGGGTGTGAACGAGCTTTTGTTTCTTTCCTTACATTCCGAAAAATATTTGGTGTTGGTAATTTCTTTCCTTCCATTATATATAGAAGTTGGGTGAGTCTCGTGAACTTTCAAATGAAATAGACCCATTAAAAAAAAATCCAGTCGAGTCAAATCGGGAATCTTATTGGTCATTCTCTAGAATATCTCTTTCCAATCCACCGACTCATATAGTTATTATCAACAAACTTGTACTAGGCATTCTATGGAGCCCACCTTTTTGAAAAACACCTCATTCAACTGAATGACGTTGTAAAATTTGTGTGATAGTCCTTTACTATAGTTACCCAAAATTTCTACCCGCACATTTAGTTTCTGGGTATTTTGAGTGTGAATTTGGTGTGACATATTGGAATTTGAATCTCTTCAGTGTCGGAAATTTTAAAGATTTAGTAAGTTATTCAAATGAGAAGTACATTGTAGTGTACAACAAAGGTGGATTACGATTAATGCATTCTGAGAGGATCTCTCAGACGAGTTACGAAAACGTTTCAAATAAGGTGTCATCCAATATTTGTTGTGAGTTGCTCTTTTGGTTCACGATTTTTTCAGTCTCAAAATCGAATGACTCATCAAATGGAATACACTCTATATGTAGATGATGAACAGTTGCTCAGCATAATGACAGAAAATAATACTTTAGGCAAATCACCAATGGAATTGAATCAATGATAATTTTTGAATTCATTATCTATGAACATATATAAAATAAGTCACATAATTTAACACAGGAATAGAATGATTAATACTCATGATTCATTCATAGAAAAAGATGAATCATCAAACCGAATGAAATAATAAATTGAATAAACAGTTGGCTCATCATTTGACGACTGAAATATTCACTCCACTTGGAGTGAATATTATAGTTTTTTCGCAAGTAGTACATGAGATGGCCACGAAAATTGCAAATATGTAGTTCTAATGTTCACAGTGCGGACGTGAAAGGTCCCTCCCTCGACTTTTAAAAGAGACTTGTTAGGAATCACACGTTAAAAGGTAAGACCCCGTTAGTCCTTAGCTCGCACAAGTTTCTCAACTTCTGAGAGTTGTCGTTCGTATGGGGGCGACAATGTATCACGAACCAGCCTACGAGTATTTGGCTGGAGATTTTTTTGACATATTTCATTGACAAATACAAAGGCCGTTTTTCGAGGGAAATATTTTATTATGTAACATATTCTTCCAGTTCATCGTAAATCAAAAAAAAGTTTTGGAATACATTTTTCACGGAAAACTTTTGAATGATGGCAAAGTTGCCTATTTTCTGGCAATATTGAATTATATCAAGAAATCGATTTTAGCTTTTTTCAATTCCGGAGATACACGGATAAAAATGAAAATTTTAAAATTCCTAATTTTACTGTATTTTTTTCGTTGCAGAAATTTACATTAATTCTTACAGGGTGTTACCCAACTTGAGTAAATTAACGTACCGTCAATAAATGAAATAAATAATATAAATGTGCAATTTTTCCGTGTTATTTAACTTTCGTTACTACGTATCTGAAATTTCTACTTCCTTTTCGCATGTTAAGAATATCAAGTGGAGGTAAAATATATATGCCAAAATTTTTCTGTTATACTGTCGCATCAGATTTCAACTTCAATTAAATTGACTGTGGAACAAAAGTTCCTACGTGCCCAAAGACAACACTTAACAAAAAAGCGATGTTAACTTTAAAACTGATTCACTATGGAAATCAACGCTTTTGCAACCTTTTTTATTACTGGTGTCACAACCACTCGAATGCATTCTGTCGCACGATCGTTTCAATTTTTGCGAGAAATCCTATGATATTTATTCAAAGTATACACTGTAAAGAGCAATCATAATGTGCAAGATTTGTTCATGGTAAAGATGTTCAATCTGATTATTATCAATGTTGTTACCATCTCAATCGTTACCATTATAGCAGNCAGTCTTGATTAGTCTCAAAATTTCCAAAACATACAGTGTTGGTATTTTCTTCTCGATATGATTTTTCCACATTCCGGTGTATATAAATTCTCAACATTTTTTATTTGTCTCATAATTCACACTTTTTATAACTTTCCAGATCATGAGAATTATGAAATCACAAATTCTTTTGATTTTTTGTTCAAGAGGAATATCCCTGTATGATTTGTTACTGTCTAACATCATATATTCGTTATTTTCGGCAGTAATGACATATTTTTCAAAATTCATGTTTTAACTGTATAACTATTAGGATTCCCGAGCACTTTGCGGTGCGAAAACTTTTTCCGATTACTAATACGTTCGTTATTTTCTGTTGGCTATGTGATTTTTTGAATTATTGCTAATAGTGTGATATTGAATAGAATTGGCCGATACTTGATGAATATTTATATTGAAACTCATTAATATAGTTTATTGTATGATTTTGACTATAAAGGGTTTAAACAAAAACCTTCTCTCAAGCGTAAAATAATGCTTGAGAAAACTATTGTATAGCGTAACACGCGTCGCTGTTTCTGTAAAACCCTTTATAGTGAAATAAACAATAAACTGTATCAACTGTAGTATATAAATTTCAATATTCTCAAACTTCCTAAATCTAGTTTTCTTTAAATTTTTCAACTTTCCTTGTAACAGCTTTCTCTAAATTTCATAACAATTTGAAGACTGTTGGGAAAGAAAGTTTTTGACTTTCTACTACTCCATCTGATACAAAAAAAGGGATGAGANCGTCTACAATTTTCATCGTTTCGACGTTTCGGCTCCTGCTTTGGAGTCATTCTCAAGAATCACTTAGATTTGTACTTACATGACTCCTCGACGACGTGGTCGTAATCTCCCTCGTCCCCAAGTTCATTACTAGTTCTATGTTTGCTGTGTTCCATTCTAAGTTCGAAAAGGATTTGAAAATCTGTTCTGTTTAAAAAAAAACGAGCGCTTTCGTTAGCTGGCTGTGCTGTTATCTTCAAGGTTTGACCTTTACAATGTATACTTTGAATAAATATGATAGGATCATATGATCCTCATACTCGAACTATTTATGTCAATATGTAATATTTTTCCATTTTGGTACAAAACGAGGGTTTTTTGATCTTCAATGAAAGGGGGAGGACAACAATAATATGTTTTTCATTTCATCCATAGTAAATAAAAAAATGAATTTTCTTTGATGTTCCACTTGTGATACCATCAAACGTTTAGTTTGAAACTGCGGCAGACATATTAAGGGGTGTATGCGTTGACTGCGAGAACGTAGGTAATATCTTATATTCAGCCGACCAACTCTACTAGAAATCAATGTGTTGTTAGAATCAAAACGCTTTATTCTCCGGGAAACATCTCAGTTTATCTCCTAGGTCGCTAGGTTTATGTGGTTCATTCTAACTTTTTTAAAAGCGCATTTCAATGGGAAATAAATCTACCTCGCTTGTAACAGCTAAAGAGGAATTGAAATTGAGTATTCGTGTTTATCTAACTCAATTTCACATTTATCGATAGACATAGATAAAAAAAATGGTGACTTCCAGAATGTAACGAAATGGCCAAGAATTTCAACAAAAATATTCATATCATCTTGTTATTGAAATAAAATACACAAAATGTTGGTAGTGAACTTTATTTTCGAATTGACGAATAACCTATTTATTCAAATTTCCGATGAAGAAACGTTGTTTTCATGATACAGACAAAACGTCAATAAATTCAATTGGGAATCATGACTTCACAGGTGGATGGCGATGAAGTTAATAAACGAGACTGGAATAAAGAACTGCATATGTGGGGAAAAAGAGGATGGAGTAGCATTCACGGAGGCTGGGCACTAAAAAACAACATACCATCACTAATGAACCAGCAAGCCTATCCTCCAATTCCTATAGTCGAAAAGAGATCGTGGAATAATTTACAGGTAAGTTCTTCTAACTTATACTACTTGAAGTTTGTCTTTAAAAAATTTATGTCGAATTTCAAAAGGGTGAAACTGAGTCGACTAATTTTATAGTTTCATAATCTTCAAAAACTGTAAAACTGTATATAATGATAATAATAATATCATTCATTAATGAAAAGAGAGTTCATGCAGCAAATACACTTTTTTGCATAAATGTACCTTAGTGAGCAAACACTTGTTTCGAAATAAAATTACCTTACTACATAAAACTACATAAAAAGAAAAATTAATTCAATACAATATAAGAACATTACGAAAAAAAGCATCACACTTAAAAAATAAATATATGGAAATGACAATGTTATACGAAAAGAAAACACAATAATGAGAACATTTATATAGTAAATATTTTTTGCATAAATGATAAGTGAGCAAACACATGTTTCGAGATAAAAGTACATTATTTAACTACCTAATAAATATTCAGTTCAATACAAGAACACCATGAAAAAAGCAATACGCTTAAAGAATATATACCTATGGCAATAAATGAATACTTAAAAAAAGCAAACACTTCAATAAAAATATTTTAAAAGTACAAACNTTTTCTCTTCGCTTCGTAATAAGTAATTTTCTCTTCGACTTTTATTTTTTGCATTAGTTGTTTTCTTTATATGTGGGACCATTTTTGTATCCAGCTGAATGAGGTCCTTCACAGTTCAGACATTTCTTTGATTCTTCACAAGGAGTTCCCTCATGTGGAAGCTTTCCACACGCGCATATTTGCTCCCTAGTACAATTATTTGCGACATGACCAAAAGCTTGGCATTCGAAACATCTTTGTGGTCGGCGAATGTAAGGTCTAATCTTCAGTTTATAGTACGCCACATTGATCTCTTTGGGTAGATTAGAAGTGTTGAAAGTTAGTACGTGATTTGGGGTATCCATACCCCTATTTGAGTCACTAGGCCATCCATGATTTCTTCAACACTACAATTTGAAAGATCTCTACAAAAATCACTCCTATTGAAATATTTAGGGCAGGGTGTGCAACTACCTCTACGTCGTAGTCTGCAAATTTACTAATTTCTTTCAATAAATTGATGGATGTAGCCGTTACTATGTGGTAGGAGATTATGATGAAAAAAGAAATGAAAATTTCTATGTTTTTTACCACTTTTATTTGTAACTAAAGTTACTGCAGTTTCGTCCTATATGGACATGTTCAAACTTAAACAATAAACTAAGAATGATTCATTACATTCGCTAATATATACCATTCAGGTACTTGATTGAGTACCTGAATTTACAGTTCACATTGCACATGTGCCAATTTAAAAACCGGAGAGTAAATTTAATCGATTTGGTCACCCGCAATGTTTATGCTTGTGAATTTCCAAGGATTCTACATAATTGGGTTTGCAAGCCTTCCTTGCATAGTGCAGAATTTGCGTATCGTTTAGATTCGGAAACTTGTGGTTGCATGCCAAGGAATGGTTTGAATACGCCGAAATATTTTTCCAGTCTGAATGACCTTTCATGTTCAGCATACCGTTTTTGGAAATTTCGTCTGCATTGTCCCACATAAACACTATTACACTCCGGACACTTAAGCTTATAAACTCCAGATTTTTCCAACTTGTCGACCTTATCCTTGGCATTGAAAAGAAAACAAGATAACCTGGCATGTGGTCTGAATGCTACTTCCACATTGTTTTTTCTGAAGAAACCTGCGATAATTTCTGTTCTTTTTCCTAAATATGTTAGCGTTACCCATTTCTTGATTTCTGGTTGTTTGACCTGAAGATATATTAATCTGCAAGTGAATTTCCGGCTTTGTTTCCTGACTAACTTCTGGATAGTATCATAATAGGTCATAATAACGGTTTCAACGCATATAGGACGAAACTGCAGTAACGTTAGTTACAAATAAAAGTGGTAAAAAACATAGAAATTTTCATTTCTTTTTTCTTCCTAATTTCTATCAATCTTCGTGATCGTGTATTAGATTTTGTGTTAATTGATAACCCACTTTTAACTTTTTGATTAGAGTTAACTCCACCTATCACACCATATACTATTTTTCACATCAGAAAAGGGTTAACTTTTTCAAAATCCCAACTTCACTCTCATCTTGAGAGATTCTCTTAACAAGCAGGAACCGAGGTTTGTTATCCACCGTCTCCTGTCTTGTTGATGAAGTTTTGAGTGTCTCATCGATACTATTGGGAGCAGTTGTATTTGTGGCAACGCTGCTTTCTCCATTGCCTTCCAGGTGCAGTTGATTCACAACGGGTTCAGCACCATTATCCGTTGCATTTTGTGAATTAAATGTAGAACTTTCCATCTAGTTTCCACGAGTTGGGATGAATATAGTCAACTGCAGCAGTACACCCATACCGCATAGGGGGTGAATACAAACGAGGATCGCCTGGTACTCGTAGGATACCGTTCGTGACTCACTATCGCGGAGTCATTCACCCATCGACACGGTACGATTGACATCTTGGGTTACGGATTTTTCGAAGGTTTTCTCCTTTTGACTTGTCCTTGGCTTCACTACTCATCTTTGACCTTTCCGGCATGGGTGACCCTACTGGGAGCGTTGTGCTCCTGCCGGCATTGCTCTAGGAATCATTGCAGTTACCGAGCCCCTTCACCGCAGCAAGGTTCCACAACGTCTCGAAGGGGTCCATATTTTGAATAGAAAAAAGAATTCTGGTACACCGGTTGTGAAAATGCGGCTACATTTGTAATATTCATGCAAAAAATTCAATGCACAAATCAGATTCTAATTGAGGTTAGAGAAAATTGAAAAAATATTTTTTACTATTGAATGTGACATCTGACACAAACTGAATCATTCCATTCTGGCAAATCTCTTTAATCTTCCTTCTTTATTTTTCTTCTTGAGAGCTATTGCATATCATGGTACTCAATATTTCGCATATTAATGCTACGGCGAACTTTTCAGAATTCAGAAATGAGATTGTTTGTGCCGACTGTGATGTTCTGGGAGTATCTGAAACCTGGTTGCATTTTGGTATAGCGAATGATGCCGTACTTCTAAATCAGATCAAATTTGTTCGTCAGGATCGGCCAACCAGGGGTAGGGGTGTAGGTTTGTATATTAGAAATAATATAAAATTCGATTTTTTATTTAGTGAATGCAAGGACTTTATAGAGTACATTTTTCACTAGTTCGGACTTCCATTGTCTACTATATAAAATGATTTGAAATCCCTGAAACAAGTAAAAAAGAATAATTAGAAAGAATAGTTGAAAATANTCATCTTGTGTAAAGAATTCGTCCTTCAGTTGGAAATAACAGTTTCGTACACAGCATCCTAGTAATTCCATAATTACTTCTATAGGTAGATTCGTTCTCTCTTTCAGGTTCCCGTCAGGGATTTCAAATCATTTTATATAGTAGACAATGGAAGTCCGAACTAGTGAAATTCATCACGAAACATTGTCAATCACCTTCAAACAGAGTACATTTTTATCAAACTCATCATTGGAAAAAAATCAATAGTAGTTGGTAATGTTTACAGACCTCCAAATACTAGTGTCCAAATCTTCTTCGACCACATTGAAGATCTATTTTCAAACTTGATTACAAATTTTAGCAACATTGTATGTGTTGGCGATTTCAACATCAATATGCTTGACTTAAATTCTTTAGTTACTCAAGATTTCAGTTCAATTATTGAAACCTTCAATTTCTCACAACTAATTAATGAACCCACACGAATAACGAACAATTCTGTATGTATTGATTTGGTGGTAACCACGTTTACTTCTGAAGAATGTAAGTCAGCTGTAGAAAACAGTCAAATATCAGATCACATGCGATTAAGTTGCAGATTCAAAGTCATTTTTGAGAATATAAATATTAGGAAAAAAATCACTTACAGGGCTCTGAATCACATAGATACTGAACTTTTTCAAAATGAACTAGAAGCTTTACCTTGGCAAAATATTCTTGTAACGGATGATTTGGATGAGAAGGTTGAGTTACTCAATCAAAACATAAGAGGATCAATTGACCTCCATGCACCTAAAACTACTGTTGCGCTACGAAAAACTCAATATGCTCCTTGGATAACTGACAACATCAAGTTCACGCAGAAAATCAGAGATAAGGCTTTACAAAAGTTTAAGAGAACTCAATTACCGCAACATTGGTCATATTATAAACAACTGAGAAACTTCACTACAAAAACCATCAAGGCTAAAAAAATCTTGTCTCAATTTCAAACTCAGAAGTTGTACTCCCAAAGAAAAATGGAATGAACTGAAAAAGTTGAATATAACTATGCGTGATAAGAAGGACATTCCGGACTCTTTAAATAATGTAAATGACATGAACAAATATTTCATCGATTCAACTAAAAATATTACCACCGTTAGTGGTAATATTATTAGAGTATTACACAAATAATGTGAAAGATGAAATAACCTCAACCTTTTCATTCAATTTGGTTTGTGAAGTGAATGTGTATGATATAATAAAAAATAACAAATCCCGAGCTTTTGGCAATGATGACTTGAATATCGTAGTAATCCAGTTATGCTGCCCCTTCATTTTACCTATTATNAGTGAAGTTCTCAAAAATTGCTCTGCTCTCTCTCTCTCTAACCGTTACCTTCTTATGCTTTCCTTTCCTCTCCTTCTCTTTATTTACTTATCTTTACTCATTTAGTTTCGTTAATGTATTGCTATCTGTTAAAACTGTAAATATCTCTTTGGCATTGGTGGAAGAACAGAAACGGTTTTCAACTGTTATCTGAACTAATAAGTCCAGCCATTTAATCATCAGTTACACCACTACTGTACATTCTTCTGTTTTTTTCTTTGATGGGTAATAAATGTTTTATTATTATTATTAATGACGGCACTACGAACCGTTTTTGGATATGATTACGATTAAACGCCAGAAAATACCTAATGTTACTATGGCAGATTTTTATGAATTAATGTTGTTGAGTTCGAAATAGAAATTTTGGAGATTAAA